AATGAATTTCATACAATTCACCAAAATATTCAAAAGAAACCAATATTTGGTATGTCTGTAGAAATTCTCTTTTCTTGTTTTCATATTTTAAAGAAAACTAACAATTTATGTTAGGTAAAACCCATTACAAAAACCTTCCTGGAAAATGTTTCCTCAATTGTCGATTTCAGTACACGTTTTGTTCTTATTATCTAGGGTTTAGAAACCATTTTCAATTATCTGATTTTCGGCACATCTGTAAAGCATTTGTAACGGTCCACAAAAAGAGAGGAAAAAAAAGGTCATCCGACTACCTGATACATTTTGAAAGACGATGTAGCAATAAGTAACTTGAGAATTTTGCTATTCTTTATCCCATACATTTTGTCTTGAAGCACGTTACATCGCAAGTAACGTGTTGCGAATATGTAATGTGTTAATTGATACTTACCTTGACGATTAATTTAACTATATATAATAGAATTCTTATATAAAATACGCTTCACGTCCCAAAAAAAAGTTAATTTAGAAATTTTCAAGTAGATATGTAGATGAGGATTACATCATCAAATAGATGAGATTAAGGGTTGAAGAAGTGATGAATACATCATAAAATGCGATACGTAAGTGGATAGTTCCATAAGTAGACCACATTTTAAGAAGAACAAGTCAGTGGAGAGTCAATTAGCAAAGAAAGTGTGGTAGGAATGGAGCAGTAATAGGTCTTTCTGCCCATAATTAAAATATTTGTAGTTAAAGTAAACAAAAATCATATAGTATGTAATGATTATGAAATACTTTACTGGGCACTATACTTGACAATTAAATTAAGTTTAAAAATGATACATTTTGAAAGACGATGTAGCAATAAGTAACTTGAGAATACATTTTATCTTGAAGCACGTTACATCGCAAGTAATGTGTTGCGAATATGTTATGTGTTAATTGATACTTTACTTGACGATTAATTTAACTATATATACAAAAATTCTTATATAAAATACGCTTCACGTCAAAAAAAAGTAAATTTGGAAATTTTCAAGTAGATATGTAGATGAGGATTACATCATCAATTAGATGAGAATAAGGGTTGAAGAAGTAATGAATACATCATAAAATGCGATATGTAAGTGAATAGTTCCATACGTAGACTACATTTTAAGAAGAATCAAGTCAGTGGAGGGTCAATTAGCATAGAAAGTGTTGTAGGAATAGAGCAGTAATATGCCGTTAATTAAAATATTTGTAGTTAAAGAAAACAAAAATCATATAGTAAGTAATGATTATGTAATAATTTACTTAGCACTTTACTTTACAATTAAATTAAGTTTAAAAATTTCAAAAACTAAAGTACGAACCAAATTATTCGTACAATAAGTGAAGAACACGTGTTTGCAGCAAAAATTCTCTGAAATGTGTTTGGTTAAGGGTGTGAGGCTGGGTAACATCTGCCTTGCACCTGCCCAAACCCTTGTGTTTCATAACGATTTTCAGTTTTCAACGTTAGTGTTAAACTAAAACTATTGTGATAATAATTATGAACTAGTTATTTTCGTCATATCAAACAAAGCAAATGTTAAATAAAGATTTATTAAAGTTTCAATAATGATATATAATAGATAAATATTTTGAATTTGTTTGTTTAGACTGGAAGAGTACAGATGGCGCGAGCATCACCTCAAACGCAAAACAATGTTATTGTTTGATTGTTGCAGCCTATTGTTAGCACGTGCGAATAGCGGAATAATCGTGCAATTATGCAAAGGTTATTGTGTAATAGCGACGGGCTGTTACGCAATTCGCGAGATGATCGTGGAAACAGCTGCGGTGAGGCTATCTCTGTTTACTGGGCAGATTCATCTCGTTTCATCCCCCTTCCACAACATCGGTTACATTGTCATTATCTACCCCCACCCACGCAGTGTTTTGTTTTGGTTTGTCAAAAGCGCGTGTGTATGGCGGAGATCCTTGACAGTGAGATCTCATTCTATAATTGTAACTGCTGGCCAGTAGTAAGGATAACGGAGTGAAATGTGCTGTACATATTGACCTGCAGTTTCGTGTCTCCTAAATTCCAAGTTCCCAACGACCTGACGAACGCGTCGACTGCTGCAGGAAGAGCCCAAAGGCAGAGGGAAGAGAGACAAAAAAAAAAACAAGTAAAGTAAGAAGAAGGAACAAAATACCGATTCGGATTTGGAACGGCGGCCTTCTTTGTCGCTGCTAGAAAGGAGAGAGCAAAACAAACAACAAACAGTTGCAATGTGCTAGCCTCCGCTGCGAATTTTCCTAAAACGTAATAAGGAATCGGCAATTGCGTTCTTTCTTATTCAAACGTTTCCTCACCTCACCTCGACGGACCTCTCGTTTCTACGCTCATTGTTTATCGACGAAAAAGGTAAATATTATCATTTCACTTTTACTCTAATTGCACGCAATAATCTGTTTGGCAATTCAATCTGCACATTTTATCACACTCCTACAAAGTGTATCAATTACATAGCCTTAGCACATGTAAAAGGTAACGCTCACACACAAAAAAATATATGTATCATGCACTTTTATTTGTTCTAATTCGAGGTCAGGCCATTGTATTTAAGTTAGGCATGGATCCAAGTGATTGGGCAATCAATTCATCAAAAATTGAATGCTTGTGCTGGAGGAAATCCACAACAAATCGCCTTGGAACTGCATAGACTGCCCAAACTCCTCTTATCTCATTTTTTGGAATGAAAGATGTGCATTTCTATCAGCTAACTGCATTCAAAACAACTTGTTTATTATGATAAACAAAACAGTTTTGCAATCATATGTGATTAGCTGACACTAAGCATTCTTTTTTTAGGGGGAAACCACTAGATTATTTACGATTTTGGCAGAGTTTTTGGTTCTTTGTTTTACTGCAGCTGTAAAGAGTTGAAAATTTTCTTTTTGGCACTCCATAAATTATAGCATTTGTTTATGTCCTTGTCGACCTACAATTGGACTTTAAATTTAAATTGCTCTTACTTTGCAGTTTTTTTTAATAAGTATAAACTGACTCCATTTTAGGTCAACAAAGATTTCACGTAATTAATTACAAAGTCTACAATGTTATTCATTAATGTGTTGTAAAATACCTTTGAATAGTAAACAAATGGGGTAAATTCTATAAATAAGTGTGAGAATGAAACCATAGCAGAAGCAGCAAAATATTTTTCAAATCAAATGTATTTTTATAATACTATTTTTCAATGGCATTGCCCTTCATTTCCGTTCTGGCACCCAAATCATTCTTATATTGCGCATCAATGAACGTGAATAGAAAAAAAAAATTATAACAGATTTTCCACATCGTTTATGAATGATAGCATAAACCTTTATTTTAAGCGGTTTTAACTAAAATCTAACTAATTTGTTTATTAATCTAATTTAATTTGTGAGTAATTTCGTGTTTAAATATGACTAAATATAATAGATTGTTCGAAGATAATTTTGGCAACGAAATCTTTGCATTATTACGCATATCAATAAAGATGATCGCAGTAAAAACAAATAATAAACGTAGCTTGTATTTACAAAATCTGCTTTATGATTTACGCGAGATTTACGAAAGATAGAAGAAAAAATATTTCTGTGTGTTCCAGCGACGCGCCACAATTTGGAGTAGTGTTAAAATTAAAGTGTTGGCAAGGTTTCACGAACCTGATGTATTTCTGTTATGTGCGCGGATGCACCGAATTCATTTAAATGTATTTATTTACCTCTCTCTCAATTTTTTTTTTTAAAAAACATGTTTCAGACTGCCGAAAATGATGGACTTCCTCAACAAAGCAAGTGAATATTTTCAACACAACTACGGGTACAGAAGGCAGGATGAAAGGGAACCTCCGGTCATGGAGAAATCGCGAATTGCAGCTTACCTGAACTTTATTGGTTGGATGATTTCCTTGGAGACCTTACTGGTCAGCGTGATGAACTTTATTTGCTGCAACATCATATTATTGTATGTTGAATTTCTTCAGCATTTTTTTTATTTCAATTATACTGATTGTTTTTGTTCTACAGATCTTTTTACGTTATAAATCTGAATATGATCAGCACCGTTTGCTTGATTTTTATGATTCTGGTAACAATAAACTGGGTATGCGATGTCTTTGAGGTGGAGGAATACCCGCATTACATTACGGAACAGCAGTTGATCAGAGTTCTTACAATCACAAAACGATGCCTTATTCGTATAAGGCGAGATGTACCTGTTTTGGTAAGTACCTTAATTTAATAAATAAATTTTCAATTTCATTGATTTGTTATGTTTCAGTTCTACTCGTTGTTGACTGTGAGCTTTTGTCTTGTCTACGTAGTAGGAAACAGCATGAGTGGTATCACTGTGAGTTACATCGCGTTTCTGGTAATCTACTTTTCCAAGCTCATAGTTAAGTTCATGCCGAGCAAGATCAAGGAATTGATTTGCAGATTCATAGATGACGTTCAGAATGTTGAAGGTAATTCAGATAAAAAAAAACAATTAGAATTATATTTAACGAAAATTGTCTTTATTTCAAGGGATGATCGAAGAAAGCGATTTAATACCATACAATACTGATGATTCGAATGGCGATAAAGACACCGATCTGGATAGTCTACTAACCGATAGAACTCAAGGTAAATTTCTTTACTCTGAGCCTAAATCAAATATCTATATACGTTATTTGTTTTTGTTATAGAATCAGGTAACAATTCTTTGGCGAGCGGATTGAGCACGATGCCATCACATTTGGATGACGATTATATCCAAGATGATACGATCCAGGAGGATGATCTTTTGCCAAGCACCAAACCCACCAAGATCGATGATTCCAGTGATTCCGATTCATCGGAGCACCGCAACATCGAGTTCGATTCGGTTTACTTCAACAAGGATTCTAGTTCGAGCGAAGACGAGAACAGTTACTCGAAGGGCCTCAAGTTCTCGGATGCGGTGGACAGTAAAAAGGTTGTTGCAGTAGAAGAAACATCGCTATTATCCAGTCCGTACCTGAATATCGCTAACTTCATAAGCAATGTGATGGTGAAAGCTAGTCAACAACAAGAGGTTGTTCAGCAGGAAGCTCCGGTCGAAGAAAGCGACAGTGATTTCGAAATTATTAACAGCGAGGATGTCGAAGATGAGAATGCAGAACACGTTTAATGAATCTTCTTTTGTGATACATAATTATTAATATTACTTCCTCCCATTTCTTTTTTTTCTTTCTTTCTCGAATCAATTTTTTTTTATATATTTTATATATATATATAGAAATAATTCATTTTTTTCAGTCTCGTTAGATTAAGAAGTCAGTAAGAAGTATACATTTATATGTTTAAGGGATTTTTACGTGTTCTAAATAATAATTCGACCTGCATAAGGAAACAAAAACAAATATATTTAACCAAATTACTTTTCTAAAAAAATTTATTTAAGTTCCTAATATAATATATACCATTATAGTATNNTCTGCATGACTTTGGCCACGGCCATCTCGAAATCCTCTTGCGTCACGTGGACTCTGCGTGGACCATCTATTGAAATCCCGACTACCATAATCCTGACAATCAAAATCCCTACTATATCAAAATCCCGACTATATAGAAATCCCGACTATATCGAAATCCCGACGTTTGAAATTCCGTCTGTATAGAAATCCCGACAACCATAATATGCTCCGAAATAATTTAAATATGTTATTGTAGATATTTTCGATATAGTCGGGATTTTGATACAGTCGGAATTTTGATTTAGTCGGGACTATGTTTGTCGGTATTATGGTTTCTCGAGATTCTGATACAGTCGGGATTATGGTTGTCGAGATTTTGTATAGTCGAGATTTCGAACGTCGGGATTTCGATACAGTCGAGATTTCGAACGTCGGGATTTCGATACATCGGGATTTCAGACGTCGGGATTTCGATATAGTCGAGATTTCGAACGTCGGGATTTCGATATAGTCGGGATTTCGAACGTCGGGATTTTGATACATCGGGATTTCAATCACGTCGGATTTCGAACGTCGGGATTTCGAAGACGGTATTTCGGTTGTCGGGCTTGCGATATAGACCCGATTAAAGGTATAATTATTTAGAGAATAATTAAGATAATTATTAATATTACTTCCTCCCATTTCTTTTTTTCTTTTCTTCTCGAATCAATTTTTTTTATATATTTTATATATATATATATAGAAATAATTCATTTTTTTCAGTCTCGTTAGATTAAGAAGTCATTAAGAAGTATACATTTATATATTTAAGGGATTTTTACGTGTTCTAATTAATAATTCGACCTGCATAAGGAAACAAAAACAAATATATTTAACCAAATTACTTTTCTAAAAAATTTATTTAAGTTCCTAATATAATATATACCATTATAGTATTTATAAATAAAACGAAAAAAATTGAGGAAATTACTTCCACAGCTTCTTGATGGACATGTTCTTCTCAGAATCTTTCTGCATGACTTTGGCCACGGCCATCTCGAAATCCTCTTGCGTCACGTGGACTCTGCGCTCCCTGAGTGCGTACATTCCAGCTTCAGTGCAAACTCCCTAAGTGAACAAATCCCGAATTAATCGAAGCCCACTAATCCATTAAGTTACCTAAATACCTTAACTTCAGCACCGCTCGCACCTGGCATGAGTTCTGCGATTTTCCTCAAGTTGATGCCTCTTGTTAAATTCATCTTCCTGGAGTGAATTTTCAAGATGTCCAATCTGGCTTCTTCGTTTGGTGGTGGAAACTCGATTTTACGATCGATCCTGCCAGGACGCAACAGAGCCGGATCCAAGATATCAATTCGGTTGGTGGCCATGATGACTTTAATGTTTTTGGTAGCTTCGAAACCGTCCAGCTGATTGAGCAACTCGAGCATAGTTCTCTGCACTTCGGAGTCACCGCCAGAGCCGGACTCGATCCTGGACGAACCGATGGAATCGATTTCGTCCATGAAGATGATGGACGGAGCGTGCTCGCGCGCCATAACGAACAGTTCTCTGACCATACGAGAACCTTCTCCAATGAACTTCTGTACCAACTCGGAACCAGACACTCTGATGAAGGTGCATTCAGTGTGGTGAGCCACAGCCCTGGCCAATAAGGTCTTTCCTGTTCCAGGAGGTCCATACAAGAGCACACCTTTGGGCTGTGCAATACCAAGAGCATCAAACAGCTCAGGATGTTTCACTGGCAATTCAATAACCTCCTTGATCTCTTTAATCTGCTTATCCAAACCACCAACCATCTCATAGGTGGAATCAGGGACTTTCTCAACCATCATAAGAGACACCAAAGGATCAACCTAAACATAAATTATCAATCTCAAATAATACTAAAGTATCAATTAATTAACCTTGTTGGGTAAGATTTTATGCAAGGTATAGCTCTCATTCCTAAGAGCCACTCTGCAATTTGGAGTAACATCATTGATGTCAATATTCTTGTCTATATCAACAACAAATTTGCCTTCAGGATGCACCTTGACAAGGACCTTCTTTTTGTCCATCGGCTTCACAACTTCTCCCACATAGCTCCCCTGCTCTTGCAACAACATCAACTCCTCTCTCAACATACGGACTGAATAATAACAATTAATACAAGATTCATTTTAAAAAAAATATTATTATCATTACCTTTGGCATTCAGCTCATTTCGCTGGGCCTGCAATCTGCGCAGATTTTGGCTCTTTTCAGCAACTGTGAGTTGCAGTTCTTCAATTTTGGTTATGTAGTAAGAACGAAAACCTTCTCCCTTCGGCCCCGAATCGATATCCATCTAAATAATATCATTAATAACAATATGATTACATCTTCATTTCCAACAATTTACCTTATTTGAGACGGTCATCTTGACTACAAACTTATTAGAATACAGTCGGAAACTGATATTGTAGCCTCACCAACACCGAACAGAAAAACAACACAATCACTATTCTTGACAGCTAATTTCCAGGACACCAACTTTAGGAATCTTACGCTAAACAATTTTAGTATTCCGCCACGAGATGGAGATAGCATTGTTTTTTTTTAGAAGAACTAAATTACTGGACTCTATAATTTTCTAATTACTTATAATTATATAATACAGTAAACGTTTTGCAGATATAATACAATCAAAACTTAAAATAATATGAAGAGATATTGAAACATCATCAAAACTTAATACGTTGGTACTACGAAAATAAATAGTCTTTTCTATATGTACACTAGTTTTAAGGTGCGTACCACTACAAAATCATTTAAATTTTAATATACACGCGCGAAAATTTGGATCAAAGCAAAGTTTTAATTAGAAATAATTTAATCCGAATTTATATCAAATAAAACATATTTTTTTATAAACTTCTTAAGAAACTGTACTAGATTTGTGTGTGATCTATTAAAAACACGTATCAGAATTTACTATTAAAATACTATTTTCAAAAACTACTACAAAAAAATTGTTAGAAAATATTTTTAAATATTTTTTTAAAAATTTATACCATTTCGTATAAAAATATTTTTTGGTTTCCATAAATATTGTTGAATTAAGTAGTGCTGTTGTTCACTGTAAAATGGAATTATCGGAATATTTAAAGTTGGGTCTCAAAGATCTTTATAAACCAAAACAATCAAATAGAATCATACAGTTCAGACAGTTAAGACAAAACAGTAGAGATAAATGCACGTTGTCTCAAAGGCATATAGCAATGATGGAAACAGTTAAAATAAATGCAAGGATGCAAGCGATGTTGGCGTGGAAAGCGGAGAAGAAGTTGAAAGAGGAGCAGAACAAACAGAAGTTGAAACCAATTTTTAAAGTATCGAAAGTGGTGGCTCCCTCGAAACTAGAAGATATATATACAAAAAAGGTGAACAATTCACTGAAATTAGTTGAAACAGGATACAAATTCAAACCACCTACGAATATTAAACCAATTGTTTTGGAACAAAGAAACAGCAGTAAAATTAATTCGTTGTGTAATTCTGTAAAAGGTAAAATTAAATTTAAAAGAAAAATGTTTATTTATTTTATTTTGTAGATTCTGTGAAGAAAAATGTAGCCACAAAAAGAATTGATAGAGTTAAAAATATTAATAGTAACACTTTAAATGTAAATTTTAAAGTAAACGATAAATCCTGTAAAGTATCCAAGTAAGTATTGCATTTGTTATTTTAATTTAATTAATCAAATTACCTTAGGTTTAGTACTTAATCATTATTATTTTAGTGCTTTAAATGTCAAACCTAAGGTAATTAAAATGAGAAAAGATGAAGCGAATATGATGAAAGAATCTAATCAGAGTGTAATAAAAAATAGATCTCCAAGGGATAGGAATATTATGGATGTTAGTGAATCATCAAATCCTATAGCGAATGAGAATTTTGTTAAAGAAAACTCGATGTCGAGGAATTCAATAATTAACATACAGACTCCAAAGAAAGTATTTAGGAAGCGTTTGTATGGCACAGCTTGTTACATTAGGAAATGTTAAATAAGGAGGAACAAATCTTTGATTCTCTGATCTCTTTAAAATGTTGATGATCGTTTTAAATTGTATTTTGTGTATTGTCTTCTTCTGAAATAAAGAATATTTATTTAATAATTGCTTTATAAATAATAATTATGAAGATAATAGCTAAAGTGGGTCTATATTGCAAGCCCGACAACCGAAAGACCATCTATTGAAATCCCGACGTTCGAAATCCCGACTGTATCGAAATCCCGACGCTTGAAATCCCGACTACAATAATCCTGACAATCAAAATCCCTACTGTATCAAAATCCCGACTATATAGAAATCCCGACTACTATAATCCTGACTATATCGAAATCCCGACGTTTGAAATTCCGTCTGTACAGAAATCCCGACAACCGTAATACGCTCCGAAATAATTTAAATATGTTATTGTAGATATTTTCGATATAGTTGGGATTTTGATACAGTCGGAATTTTGATTTAGTCGGGACTATGTTTGTCGGTATTATGGTTTCTCAAGATTCTGATACAGTCGGGATTATGGTTGTCGAGATTTTGCTATAGTCGGGATTTCGAACGTCGGGATTTCGATACAGTCGGGATTTCGAACGTCGGGATTTCGATAGACGGTATTTCGGTTGTCGGGCTTGCGATATAGACCCGATTAAAGGTATAATTATTTAGAGAATAATTAAGATAATTAACATCAAAAGAAGAAACTCAACGTTTCCAGTAGATGGTAGCATAGGTAGCAAAATAATTGGCATTTCACACTTGTTGATGTATATAGGTAACTGCTAATGTATATATATAAATTGATAATAGAATAGTTTATTTAAAAATCATTTCAGTTACATAAAGGGTGACAAATTGTTTGAAATTTTCTTAAAGTTTTCTTGTTGTTATGTTGGCAAGTCTGTGAAGGAATTTAGTTTAACCCTAAATTAGTTGCTTCAGGTGAAATATAACATAATTATGTAATATAGTGAACAATTTTATAAATCTTGTTGTTTAAGGTATGGGTCATGCATCGGATACTGGGGGCGTCAAGCCCATGTCGATCGCTGGACGTCTCGTCAGCGAGAGGGAACGTCTTGTTGGAATGACAGATGCTGAAAGGGCCTTCCGTGCACAATGGCTCAAAGATCAGCACCTGAGCCCCAATGAACCCTACTTTGTACCAGAAATGTACAAGGAAACACACAACCCCATCCGCAGGTTCTACAGAGCACCCCTAGACAAGTTTAGGACTATGATTGAACCTATGGTTGGAGCTGACAGGGCTCTGAAGATCAGATACTTCACTGGAAAGTTCTTGATGGTGGCTGCTTTCGGATACGGCGCAACCTATTACTTTAAATATAACGGTCATGACTGGACCAAGAAGGGTGGCTGGAATGTTGTTCAGTCGAGAAAATCTGTATTGGAAGGGGATCCAGGATACCCTCAAGTCTCTGATAGATCAAAGGGCTCTGATTATTCCGACAGAGGATTCAAGGAAGGCTCTAAGAATCTAACCATGTAAATTCTTAATAATGTAGTAAAGTTGTAATTTAATATAATTTATTTAATTCTTAATCCTATTGTACACGTACATTAAAAGTAATACAGTTAAAGAGGTTTCGCTAAGAAGCTAGGTGATTGTTTAACGAATGCATCTAGTTTAGTTTTAAACAATTCAGACTGAATTGGCTCTGACAGTTTGCTGAGTGGGTTTTTCACAACGTATTCCACAAAAACTTGACTGTAGATTTGCTGCAGCAGTTCCCTCATATCCTGAGCGTTATTATCAGTGTTCAACACAAATTTGATCCTTGAAGGTGTTTCCATAAAGTGCAGAGTGTATTTTGACGTCTTGTAATAAAGGAAGCCTTCTTTGGTATCGATGGGAGAAATCTTGTTCACAAAAGATTTTATAGAGAAGAGCATTCCGTACATCAGCTTGGCCTCCTCCTCACTGGTCATACCAGATTGTTTGATCCTGTTCCATTCATGGTAATACAATAAACCGCCTTTATGGTCAAAAATGTAAATATTATGAATTGTCATTTTTGCTTAACCAAACTTCTTCCACCCACTGACGTTTGCAGTCATTCGCAAATTTACCATCTGTTGGTTAAGCTTGGAAGCTCATAACCTTAAATATTTTAAACTTTTATAAACAATCCAGGACAATTCTTCAACTTATCGAAATAAAGTAAGTGCACTCAAATAAAACATTTTCCCAACATAAATACCAGTATTTAACAATATAGGAAAACAATTTTGTATTTTACAGGTTATATCCCATGCTTACCAGTTCAAATGGAAGAAATTAAACAGTTAAACGATGATGAAGTGGGATTGGAGCCTCCATGCAAGAAACCAAATTTGGATCAGACAGAAGAAGAGGAAGTCTTGCCTACTATAGATGCTGATGGTAAACCAATACTGTTCAATGGAGTGGAAATTACCAAATTGACTAAAACACAAATGAAAAAGTACAGAAAGATGTTGAAATGGGAAGCAAGCAAAAAGGAGAAGAGGGTTAAAGAGAGGTTGAAGATGAAGAACAAAAAAGTTGAGGCTAAAAAGAATAATATTGATTTAGGTCCGTCCAGAAAACAGTTAAAGAAAGCAACAATGGCAAACAGCAGTTGCAAAATAGGAATAGCCATCGACTTAAGTTTTGATGATCTTATGATCCCAAAGGTATAAATAATTTAAATTCTTTTTATTATTTGAGTAATGTATTTTATTTTGCACAGGATTTGGGAAAAGTGATAAAGCAGATTTTAAGGGTTTACACAGAGAATAGAAGATCTTCTGCACCTATGCAATTGCATCTGACAAGTTTTACAGGGAAGAGCAGAGAAGAAATGTCCAAACACAATGGATATGAACATTGGGATATGAACTTTCATGAGGAAAGCTATTCAAGTTTGTTTCCAAAAGAGAAACTCGTGTATTTGACAAGTGAAAGTGATAATATTATTAATGAATTGGAAGAGGACAAAATTTACATCATTGGTGGATTGGTTGACCACAATTCACATAAGGTTTTTATTTATTATTAATATTCAGTATATTTGTCAGTTATAAAGTAACAATTGTTTACAGGGAATTTGTTTTAACAAAGCTGTGAAGGAAGGTATAAGTCATGGTCAATTACCAATTGGTGAATATTTTACATTGAAGACTAGAAAAGTGTTTACAATTAATCAAGGTATAAATTTTATTGCTACATTTGAATGTAATGTTATTAATGAATTCTATGTTTAGTTTTCGAAATACTGTTGAGGGTTTCTGAGGGAAAGACCTACAAAGAGGCGTTCGAAAGTACATTGCCTAAACGAAATAATATGCAACCAACGAATTCTGATGCCAACGTCGATCAAAATGATCCCAATAGCATCGAAAAAATTGAAGAATCTGAATGTGCTAACAATGATTCGAGTTAGCATGGTTTGAATCGAAAAACATTGAAATATATGTTAATTGTTTACCATAGATCGTTCCGTGCAGTACAATTCAATTATTTTATTAAAATGTATATATATACGGTTTGTGCTGTAATGAATTTGGTGTTTTGTAATAAAATATTTTATGATTATTTTTTTATGCAAAATTCAATATATATTGTAAATTTGTTGTAGCGGTTTTAGAAACACTGATTTAGTGTTTGCAACCAAACATACAGTCGTGTATTTGTAATTGTCTGAAATACCAAAGTTTGTAAATAAATTATGAAGACACCATTGCAGCTATAAACTAATATTTATGCTCAATTTAATCTGTGCATATTCAAAATTAACATCCATATATAACATTTTTATGGGAGATCATGTTTACGAAAATGCAGTCCATTATCTAAGACGTTGTTTTCTTATTTGTTCATCAAAGTATATATGCATGTTCGGTCGCCTGCACTTTAGGCGTAAAATAAATATTCCTTTTTTTGAGACAGCTGCCGCCATCTGTTAGCAATGTTACAAAGGTTGTAGTTCAAGCATTTTGGCGCTGCTCAAAAACCATTTCCTCGAAAACGTACTAATTTGATTAAAGAAAAATTTATAATTGAAGAATTGTTAATTTCTATTTCAATAAAGCAATCACCAAATATATATATTCATTAATTTGTAAGATATGAACGTTTTAATTATTGCAAACAGCGCCATCTTTCGATAATTAAGTTAATCGAGGTATGATGATTTTCCATGTCTTTAGTTTTTAATTAATTCCTCGAGAACGGCTGAAGTAATTGTCATCGTTTATTACTCAAATTAAAGCTGAAAGTCTCACCTTTCCAATGAGCTTTCTGCTGTCATCCATCATAAAAAATGGTGTTTCAATTTAAGATTGAGATTCTATTTTTAAGTGTTTAAAACGAATAATTTCAGAAAGTTTGGTATTCACTGAGCAATAAGTTTTAATTTAATTACTTAAAACAAAATCAAAACATTTGCTTGTGGATGTGGATGGGAATTGTAAATAAAAACAGCTGATTCAAATACAATTTGTTATAATATACAAACACGTTTTGTTGTCTTACATTGCTAATTATTGGAAGTTATTAGATTTCTCCTAGCAATAATTAAGAGAAGATGTATGCAATACATAAAAATATCTTAATATTTCTATAAAAATATGTTTCTTTTATCTCTCTCTCTCTCTACATATTACTCTGTTTCTTCTATCCATTATTAATTACTTCTTTTTTTTCTTTTAATATTTACATAGAAATACTGGTACAATGTAACATTCACTTAAAAAGTATACAAAATAAAAATCGTACTTAATATTAATACTGGACATATAATAATAATATTAAACATAGAACACAGGACTCTGCGGAAGGTAAAATCCCCTTCGCGAAGGTTCGTCGAATCAAAATTCTCCTCGGAATTTTACCCAACGCAGAGTCCATCGTAATACTCGTAAAAGCATGAAGATGAATGAGATATGTACAAAAAACATAAAAAAATAAAATAAACGAGCGAAGAGGAAAGAGATTTCTAAAATAATAAAATGCACATTTAACGAGAAATTAAATAAATATTACATAAGGAACTCTTAGAATCTAACGAATCAAAAAAAAAAATAATGATATATATGTAACAACGTTACTTTCCTCCTCCTTCTTGCATGAATAAAAGTCAATTTATAAATTACAAAAAAAAAATGATTAATAGTTATTAATTGATTGAATATACGCAAATTCATTGTCACAAAAAAAATTGAATTCAATTCAATTACGCATTTTCTGCTTTTGACTAGCTTTTTACAATGTATATATCTAGAAAATATATATATATATAAATTAATTTTTTTTTATATCAAAAAAAAAATGAAATAAAAAAATAAATCGTTGTTCTTCAGCAGCTGGTTTCGGGGAAGGTCTTCGTGGTGCCGTTGGTGATACTGTTGTTGGTGTCACCCATCGATGGTAAACTGGATGAATGGTGATTGGTGTTTCCAGCCGTCTCCGCTGTTCTGTTCTTCCTGAGGCACCAAACGCGTTTCACAGCAGTCAAGACCTGATTTCAAATTATACATTGTTATAGTAGTGTGTGAAAGGTAAATGGAAATGGTTGTGCTTACCTGTGGTTGTAATCCGACCACGATGAAGATGAACACGCCCTGAAGACAATTGATCAGGTCGGTCAAGTACCAAATCTCTTGGGGTCCGCCGACCGCCCAGGAGATGACGTCCGCGATCCACGTTACGCCCATCACCACCACCAGCTTCATACACACTCTACCCAATGCGGCTCTGCAAGAGATAACATAAAAATTGACAAAATATTCACAAACAGTTATATTTCTACTACAATTTAACTCTTTGAGAGGCAGTGGTACACGCATAGTACCACCACTTTTTGAACATATGGCTTTATTATGATTTTCTAGAAAATGTACAAGAAAGAGGAATTGTCATTTATTTTTGTTGGTAAGTCAAGGGATGAATCTTGATAGTCGATACCATCCGATGTTGATTCAGTGGACGAAACTGTCAGATTCAGTCTAGAAATTTAGGAATTTCTGGCCTAAATATATATCATCTGTTATAAGCACGTTTTAAGTAACATTTTTATCTGTTTCTTAGTTGTTGTTTACCAGCTGTTTAATGAATGTAGAAGTTTCTAAGATGGAAAAACACGAGTATCGTTCTGTGATCAAATTCTTTGGTTTATTGGAAACAGAAATTCATACCATCAACAAGCTTTGTAGATGACCTTCAGAAACTGCACCATCATCAGAAAACATTCAAAAAGTCCATGATATTAGTATTGGATGATGGACGTGTGAAAGTGCATGAAATAACTGATGGCTTAGGCATTTCAACGGGACAAGTTTTCCACATTTTGCATGTAAAATTAAAGATGAAAAAGCTCTGTCCAAGATTTGTAAATAATTGATAACAAACGCATTCTCAAGTGTCTTTGGATCGTTTTAAAAGAATAAACTCGATGAAACTTGAATTCACCACTAAACACGAGAGATGAGAGAAACATGGAAACAATGGTTCAAGTGCAACAAATCAGGTAAAGACTGTTTCATCAGCAGATTCATAACTATGGACGAAACTTGGATTTACCACTAAACACACCTGAGATGAAAGAAACATTGAAACAATGAATCAATTGCACCAAAGAAGACAAAGATTGTTCCATCAGCAGATTCATAACTATGGATAAACTTGGATTCACTACTAAACACACCAGAGATGAAAGAAACATTGAAACAATGATTCAATTGCACCAAAGAAGACAAAGATTGTTCCATCAGCATATTCATAACTATGGATAAAATATGGATTCACTACTAAACACACCAGAGATGAAAGAAAATTGAAACAATGAGTTCAATTGCACCAAAGAAGACAAAGATTGTTCCATCAGCAATTCATAACTATGGATAAAATATGGATTCACTACTAAACACACCAGAGATGAAAGAAACAACGAAACATTGATTTAATTGCATCAAAGAAGACAAAGACTGTTCCATCAGCAGATTCATAAATGTGGATGAAACAAGGATTCACCACTAATAAAACCAGAGATGAGAGAAACATGGAAACAATGGTTTAAATGCACCAAATCAGGTAAAGTCTGGTCCATCAGCAGATTCATAAATATGGATAAAACTTTGATTCACTACTAAACACACCAGAGATGAAAGAAACATCGAAACATTGATTTAATTGCACCAAAGAAGACAAAGACTGTTCCATCAGCAGATTTATAAATATGGATGAAACTTTGATTCACCACTAAACACATCAGAGATGAGAGAAACATCGAAACAATGGTTCAAGTGCACCAAACCAAGTAAAGTCTGTTCCATCAGCTGATTCATAACTATGGATGAAACTTGAATTCATCATTAAACACACCAGAGATGAAAGAAACATCGAAACAATGATTCAATTCCACCAAATCAGGTAAAGACTATTTCATCAGCAGATTTTTAACAATGGATGAAACTTGGATTCATCATTATACATCAGAGATGAAAGAACAATTGAAACATTGGTTCAAGTGCACCAATAACGGCAAAGACTGTTCCATCAACAGGAAAGGTAGTAGAATTAAGTCAGAATATTATAGAAGCTTGTTGGATTAATTGGATAGAAAAATTAGCGAAAAAGACCTCACAAAATGGTAAAAATCAGCGAATTAAAGTATGAATTGCTTGAACATCTATCATATTCGACAGATTTAGCTCTATCAGACTACCATCTATCCCAAACAACTTGAAAAACTGTAAGGCGTTTTTCGTACATACAAGAAGCAATTGATGTTGTATAAAATTATTGTGTAAGTTTAATAGAAATAATTATAAAGATGTTATAGAATAATTAGAAAAACGTTGGACTAGATGTATTAGCTACAAGGAGAATATATTGAAAAATAACCACAAAATTCGTGTTTTTCCCTTTGCAGTCGTATTTGGATATGGATGGAATGGAAATAAAGCGGATCGCAATGCGAGCTCTGCTTGTGGCATTCTTGAGCTAGAATTTGCGCAAATGCGCGTCCATCGAGAACGGCTTTCCGCGAATTCACTCTTCACGTCTGTAATTCAATTGAGTTCGCAAATTGTCCTCCTCCTTACCTTTCTGTCGTCGATTTGACAAGTTCCCGTTTCCACAAGCCGCAGGTCAATTCTCTGGCAGTCGCCGCGAACAGGATCAAATTGATGGCCAGCAAACATCCGATCGGTCCGAAGAAGTACGTGAGGATCTCCTTGTTGCCTGAAACGAGAGAGAAACGCATGAGATTCCTGAAATCGTTAATAATTTTTTAATGTCCAACCGTGGGACAGCGATGAGAAGGAGGTGGAGGAAGAAGAAAGGATAATGATCTTGCCCGAAGGTCGTCCCCCGAACAAGGCCATTTACCCAAAGGAATTTAAATTGTGCCACCGCTACGAAGAAAGAGGTAAAGGACAAGCAGAGAATAAAAAAAAGCAAAAGACATAAAGAAAAAGTAATATGTCGGGTACATTTTTAAAGTCTCATTAAGACCACCGGCTGCCTCCAAAGAATCCCGAGAAAAACGGTGCGCACAGTTTCGAAACATATAAAATAAAGAAACTGCGTATGTACTTTATTTCAACGAGCAGATAGCAGAAAGGAATCTCTTTCGCGGTTCGCGAATTTCCGCGTTCCGAGATCAAGGCTTTTCCACAAATTTAACAGATCTTTTCGGATCATCAAAAATCTAGAAACTAGAAAACCTCTCACTATAAATAAACAAGTTTTACTGAAATGATAGAGAAATACGTGACATCCTTAATGCGAATGTGAGGAACACGTTTGAACTTGTTCTGGTTTTGGTTTAGGAAAGGTTGCTTTTACCTACGCGGATGATTCATAATTAAATTATTATTGAAGAGCCGTTGGTGCGCACGACCCGATGCTCGGATACCGTAAACATTTCTGGAGAGAACACGCGAAGAGGCGGGTAAAAAATGGTTCGATCCTGCTGGCGTCGTGTAAACAATTTTAGAGACGCGCGGCAGTCAATCAGAGTAGGCGAAAAGAGATGCCTTTAACGTCTTTTGTTTATAATCAACGTCGGCCGTATGTCTGTCGACGGGCGAGCTACATTTTCGTATTATTGATGACTCAATGAGGTTCGTTTCTACAGAAATAGTTGAGCGAGTTTCGCACTAAAAGAACAAAGACTGTACCCAATCCCTTTGAATAAATAAAAAAAATGAAATGCTTCCTTCCTTTAGATACACTTTTACAATGTGCTACAATTCTGTTTTGTTAAAAAATAAAGGTGAAAAAAATCTTTTTGTTGCAAGAAATTGTCTTTTTGAAAATACCTCAGAATTGGAATACAGTAAATATTTAATATTAAAGATGAATGGATTCCAATATGTGTTCTAAGTAATTTATGAAGAACGAAGTCAAAAAGTTTGAAAACTTGAATGATTAATGAACAATAAGTTTGTGAATAAAATTTCGAAGGTTTTCGCTGATTTATTAAGAAGTAAATCAAACGTTGATTATCAATTTGTAATATAAAGATTTTAATGTAAATGTGTACAATGAGATCATTTTGTTTTCAGCATTCTAGAGATTGCTTTGTATATGATTATAGACAATAATTTATAGAATTATCAAGAAAAAAATAAATAAACAATCCGTTTTAAATCTCAGTTTTGTATAGAAAATTCTTAAACAAGTTACTCGACGTATTAAATAATGCGATTTCCTTCGAAGTTGCTATTCTTGGAAGCTTCAGTTACTCGTGTAAATAATCAATTGGTTCTCTTTAAAAAAAAAATAATGTGAATGAGACAAATCGTTGAAAGGAACTCTATTCTTTCGCTTTGTTGTAAGAAAAGTGAATCAGATGATTTTTTTACAAGTTTTTTTTGTTGTCGCCTGACAAAGAGACGCTACCACAAAGTGTGAGCCATCAAAAGAGGAAATTGGTGTGGGAACGTTGAGAAGAAAAAAAAAACAGGGGTTTCGAAGCAAGAAAAAAAGACCTACCTGCAAACCAGCAAGCGTGTTTGGTGAAACCGGGTTGAATTAAGTAGTCGCCGTTATCGACGGAATCCAGAAGGGCTGCGACTCCAGCAATCAGAAGAGGGAATCCCCAAGCGTACAGCTCGTACAGCCTGAGCCTCCAGCGCTCCTGGCTCTTCTCCAGACTCTGCGGCCTCAGATCCCTGCAAAAAAAAAGCAACAAAACACACGTTATATTAACCAGATATATGATTACTTCATCGAAGACGGGAAAGGTAATTGGTCGCGAAAATATTTTCGTGAACGGAAAGTAAATATTTACGCGAACTGCGAAAATATTTTCGTTGAATTACTAAGTTTTCCGCAACTCGGCCGATTCTCGATATTAATAAATTCTGGAAGAAACGCTCGTTAACGGGATTAAAACTATCCATGGAGATCCGATTTCTAGGTCGAATCGTTATGGATAATACGCGTGTAACGGTTTCCTTTTCTTTATCGGTATTCGAAGAGTTACGTGTGGTCCTTCTTATTAGATTTTAATTACCCGAATTTTCGGTTGATTTCTGTATGATTCACTACCAATTTCTATTAATAAACTAGATCGAATCTCATGGAAAAAGTAATTAAATCCATTTACGAAATTAATGAGAAAAGACATAATTTATAAATTTCAGTATAATTATCTAACTGTATTCTAATAAATGTTAATTAGATTTATTGAAAATCCAATAATTGCAATTTACACCTGTACGTAATTTCTGTAAAATATAAATTCATTTATTAAAGTAGCGGTAATTTCTTAGCAACAATGATTCTTTAGGAATTATGACGCAAAATGACAGCTGTCACCTTGTGTCAAAGCATCAAAAAATGTATGTTACAAACAATTGAGTCGCAAAGTGACAGCTGTCACGTTGTGTCAAAGTTTCAAAAAATTTATATTATATAGAATTGAGTTGCGAAATGACAGCTTTCACGTTGTGTCAAAGCATTAAAAAAATTGTTATATCATTATTTACTAATTTAATCTTTTTGTTAAGTTAATTTCATTAAATTTACTTCTTATATTGAAACTTATAATGAGAAAAGAAATAATTTATAACTTTCTCTATAATTATCTAACTGTATTCTAATAAATGTTAATTAATTTTATTGAAACTCGAATAATTGCAATGATTATTCCATTTCCACCTGTGCGAAATTACTGTAAAATATAAATGCAGCTGCTTGTAATTTCTTCGCAACAATAGTTGTTTGGGAAATAAACTTGAATATAATGTTTATAAATGTATATATTTGGGTTATGCTATATACAATTCATTGAGAAAATTAACCGCTGTATTTCTTTTCCTTTGTGTCTCTCGTAATGAGTTATGAATAAACACGTTGGAAAGAGTCGCAATGAACGGGTCACGATAAGACCGAAATATAACGGTTGGACTTTTACAACAAAAGCTACATCATACATCATTACTACACACACTGCCTACATACTTGCTCGAAGAAACCCATTGAACTTCACGCATTTGAACTTCAAAGAAAAGATGTCACGCTTATAACGCAATTATTCGCATCACTCGGGAAAGCGAAATAATCGCAAACGTTATTATAAAGAAAAGTTCAAGAAACTGGATTGTTCCAAAAGATGAAACATGTGTTTTATAGCGTGAAACATTATTCATGTTTAATTAACTTTACAGTTTATAAATTAATAATTTATGGCTAATTACTCACAATTATTTAATCGTGTTTCAAAGAGATTTTGAACTTATTGAATGATTTTTTAATATCTATTTTATTTTTGACAGTTAGTTTATAAAGATAACAATATAATGTTTTTTTCTTTACGATTTGAAAAGTAGTTCAAAACAACCTAAGTTTTAAATGTAAATATATTCTAAAAAAAATAGTACACAAAATTTGTTAAAAAGTAAATGATCTTCTACACAGTGAAATCTCTTTTTGTGTTGTTTATTTCTATTTTATTTAGTTCTTCGAATAGTTTGGTTTCAAACAGTCCGGAATCGATTACCCGCACTGGCGAGGTATTGCTGAATGGAATAAAAATTTGACGATTTTAACAATATTCTGAAGCAAATAACAAGAAATATGAAAAAATAACAATTATGAACTACAAGTTTCAAATCATTGGATTTTAGAAGAATCATAGATAATTATTGAAATATAGTTGTTTTATAATTTGATCTTTTCGTTAAATTCAAAAGTTTTATGTAAATTTTGGTGTTATCTGAAAAATTCAATGAATTTACTTTACTTCTTATATTTAAATTCAACAAATAAAAAAAAAACATAGATAAACTACAAGTTTTAAACCATTAGATTATAGATAATTATTGAAATATACTTGTTTTCTTTATTTACTACTAATTTCAATTACTAATTTGATTTTTTATCAACTTAAAAAGTTCTATGTAAATTTTGGTGTTATCTGAAGAATTCAATAAATTTATTTTAAGTACTTCTTTTATTGAAATTTAACAAATTAAAAGATTACATTGATCAACCGCAAGTTTAGGATTTTATATGAAAGTTATATAATAATTAAAACATAGTTTTTGAACTTTTTGTCAACTTATTTTTTATGTTATCTGACAAAATTATTAAATTTGCTCTTTTGGAGTAGTTGTTCTCTTAAAGTGACGTAAAATGACATCTGTCACTTTCTGTCAAAGCATCAAAATATAAACAATTGGGTTGTGAAATGACAGCTGTCACGTTGTGTCAAAGCATCAAAAAAATTATTATGTCATTATTTACTAATCTTTTTGTTAACTTATTAATGTAATAATGTATTAATTTACTTCTTAAATTGAAATATGATTTTAAAGTCAAATTGTGTCTCTTGAAACGAATTATATTTGAAGATCATTCTTAACATAAATGTTTACTCATAATTCTTGGTAGAAACTAACGATCGTTGCGAAATTAATTTGTTAGGTGTGTCGTTTAAAATTATTGTTGCATACGGCACACTTTGCATTGGATATTCACATTATTCAAATACTTTTCTTATAATACCGTACGTAACAAATACCGAAACATCCGAAACGAACGGTTTTCAAAAAGCCCATTTACATTATATTCTCGCCGAAGCCACCTGGAAGCCGCCGGAGCGAGGAAACAAATGCTGCTTGCTGTTGCTGCTGTAAAAGCCTCGACCCGCAGATGTTGTTGCCGAGCCGCCAAAGACTCTTTCAACTTTATTTTTTTTTTCGCAAAGACGCTGAGCACATTTTCAAGTATTTTACGACCCCAACTCCACTTAACGCAGAGGTCAAGGAATATTGTTATTGGCTACTCTATTCTTGACAAAAAGAACAACTCAAAAATGGTATAAACAAATGTTATAACAGCAAAATAAAATAACTAGGCTAAATATGTTTTTCTTTTTGTAACGGATTCAGGCGAGATTCAGTTATTATTATTATGGTATATTCGTGCTTCCCAATTGGTGAGATTCATAGTATGCAATGAACTGTTACAATTGTGTTAGTAGTGTGTATTGTGGGTTTAAGTGGCGAAGAATAACGCCGTTTTGGGTCATCCACCCGACGTTAATTTAATCATGAAGAGTAGAAGCAGTAGAAAAAAAAACTAGAAGCATTTAAGGACTCTGATCCGGTTTGGCGTGAAAGTAAAAACGAAGTTGCGCAACCCGAAATAAAAGAAATAGAGATGGAACATTCTTCGACGGTGAAAGTTTCGATTCAAAGAAGTTGAAGGACGAAGCGGATAATCCCATCCGGGTGTACTTTTTTTTTGTGTACAGCGGACGTTATTTATTGTTGGCTCTTTATTGTAGCTGAGGGAGAGCTACGAAAAAGAAATCCTTTTGGATTGGAAGAAGCATGGAGGGTGCCTCCTTTTTCATTTTAATTAATGCCTCTCAATAACTCACTCAACGGGTCTATTTGCATGCAGATTTCTGTAAGGGGGAGAGAACATTGGATGCAATCCAATTCTGATTGAGCCGCATAATCGACTATATATTAAATCGCTTTATTATCTTGAATAATATTAGATTTAATCATTTTTAGTTACAAATAACGTGAATTAATCGAAAGTAGAGTTGATGTAAATTGAAGCAAAATTTATCTCATAGAGCAAACTATTAAATTTTGAATGTGACGTGAAATGACAGCTGTCACCTTGTGTCAAAGCATCAAAAAATGTATGTTATAAACAATTGGGTTGCAACTAGAACCAAATATGTTCAATAGAGAATTTTTATAATTGATTTTTTTAATAGCAAATAATGTTATTAAATAAAATAAGTATAATTCACTTCTTTTAAATCAACGGTTCTCAATCTATGAGTAGTATGGATAAATTTTGAATGTGTCGTGAAATGACAGCTGTCACCAAAACGTCAAAAAAATGTATGTTATAAACAATTGGGTTGCAACTAGAACCTAATATGTTCAATAGAGAATTTTAATAATTGATTTTTTTTAATAGCAAATAATGTAAGTAAATAAAATAAGTATAATTCACTTCTTTTAGATCAACGGTTCTCAATCTATGAATCGTATGGATAAATTTTGAATGTGTTGCGAAATGACAGCTGTCACCGAAACGTCAAAAATTGTATGTTATAGACAATTAGGTTGCAATTAGAACCAAATATGTTCAATAGAGAATTTTAATAATTATTTTTTTTAATATAAAGTATAGTATATTAGTATAAGTATAATTCACTTCTTTTAGATCAGCGATTCTCAACCTATGGATAAATTTTGAATATGTCGCGAAATGACAGCTGTCACCAAAACGTCAAAAATTGTATATTGTTTTGTCGCAGAGTAAAAAGGTTGACAAACACTGTCATCATTTTAGTGCAAATAATTGTCTTATATTTTAGTCAAAATTCTTTAAATGAACCACAAACAATGGAAAAAGAAATAATAGATTTTCAAAGTGAAGAGCAGGATTCAATTGAATTCTAATCAATAATTCAATAAAGTCAATTTTTGCAGAATTTCCTACAGTTAATTGTTGAAATTTATGTTTAACGTTTCTAATTATTAATTGAGATTGTTAAAAAATCAATTAAAAATTAGAAAATTACTCAAAATATTTATAGTTAACATTTATAATTTAGTTTAAAAAAAAAACATTAATAAATATGAAAATTAATTTATATTTCAAATTTCAACCGATTTGACTACGAAATATGAAT